TATACGATAGGATGAATGTAAAACTAATGTTCTCCCATGTAAACTATCACATAATTTACAATAAAACATTAAAAAAAAAAAAAAAGTACCCTGGAATGCCGAAAGAAGTACAGCCAGAATGTTCCTTGGAGGTCAGGATGGCCAGACTTTTTCTCTCATACTTCAGACTTATCAGGAGGGTCAGTCCCTGGAGGCTATCATGCTTGGTAAATTGGAGGTTTGGAGAAAGAGACAAAAGACTCTCAACGAGAAGGACTGGCCCAGTGGCAGCAATGATGAGTTCAATTGTGAGGTTGGCACAAACCAGATACTGTTCCGTTCTGTTGTGCATAGGATTGCTATGAGTGGGTACTGACTCGACAGCACCTAACAACAATACATATAAGGCTTTGGTTGACGTACAGAACCCAGAGGTCTACCTTTTCAATTTCCTGGTTCCTCCACTTACAGATCCTTCAGAGAACTTTAGAACTCGATAGCATGCAGTTTTTAAGTTACTGTTACAGAGAATAAGCCTGTCAGAGAAGTTACAGCTTCTATTAAACCCCTTGTCTAGTAGAGAAAACACTAGCATAAGTCCTGCTACCATTAACTGCTAATTTTGTCAGTGTGCGTTTTAGCGTCAACTGGTTTCCATAGGGAAACACATTCTAAATTTTATTATAGATAAGGAACTAGAAACCGTACCTGGCTTATGAAAGCCTAATTGACCAATACCATACTTTAAATGGAGCCCTGGGGGCATGATGGGTTTTGCATTGGGCTGCTAACCACAAGGTCAGCAATTTGAATCCATCAGCTGTTCCTTGGGAAAAAGAGAAGGCTTTCTCCTCCTGTGAAGATTTGTAGCCTTGGAAACCCTACAAAGGGTCACTAGGATTTGAAATCAACTAGGTGGCAATGGGTTTGGGTTTGTTTTTGTTTTTGCACTTGCAACTAGCTGTGTATCCTAGTATGTCTCAATTTGCTTGGATGTAAACAGGGTTATAATGATACTTACACTATAGTTTTCTGGAGGTTTTTTGTCTTTTGTTTTCTGCAGTGTTGGGGTACGTAGGAGTAAGGCATTAGGTTTGGGATAGCCTAGACAAGACCTAGCACTTCATTTAGTGTTACAGTTATGGTTAGGACTTGGTGCAAAAATACGTGGCAACAACCATCCTCCCATAGCCCGCTCTACTTCTCAGCTGAGTTCAATCAATAATCAAGGTCAATACAGTTAAAAGGTTACAATACAGGATCAGAAAATGCTC